TCCACGCCGACCTGGTGCAGTACCTGAACCCGATACTGAAGTTCCTGTCGGACAACGGGGGCCCGTTTATGATAAACCCGTACCCGTACTTCGCGTACCGGGACGACCCGAGGCCGGAGACGCTGGCGTATTGCTTGTTCCAGCCGAACCTCGGGAGGCTGGATCCTAACACCAAGCTTACGTACATGAACATGTTCGATGCGCAGGTGAATAAATAAAGGAATCGTTGATCGGTTTAATTAATCTGTTTTTAATTAAATAAATGAATTGTTGATCAGTTTAAAGTTTGGCTCGAGTTTCTCAAACGTATTTTCCCTTGACAGGTTGATGCTATAAAGTCGGCCTTGAATTCGGCCGGATTCGGCAATGTCGAGATCGTGGTGGCCGAGACCGGGTGGCCTTACAAGGGAGACAGCGACGAAGTTGGAGCCAGCGTCGACAATGCGGCGGCGTATAATGGAAACTTGGTGAAGCATTTGAGGACCATGGTCGGGACTCCTCTGATGCCGGGGAGATCCGTGGACACCTACATTTTCGCACTTTACGACGAGGATTTGAAGCCCGGGCCGACTTCGGAGAGGTCGTTTGGGCTTTATCGGCCCGATTCCACCGCCATCTATGATGCCGGGCTCTCTAAATCTAGCTCGAGCCAGGTAAATTGTTGGAACTCGTTTCAAGTCAGTTAGTTAATCAAGATGAAGATATGCGCACTTAGTAAATTGTTCGAGCTGATTTCTATCGACATCATCAGATGTACTGAACGACTATTTAGCGTTCGTGCTCTTTCTGCTCATTTTCAGATGGTACCTAAGTAAGTTTAATTCAAATTATAAGGTCACTTGTGGAAAAGTTACAGTTCAATTTTTTTTTTCATCTATATAAATAAGGGAAATTTAAATTAATACACAACATAACATACTTCTCTTTAGTAATATTTAATCATTAATAAACTATGTTAAAAAATAATATTGAGTGCTTGTTTCTGCATTGGGAAAGGTAGCGTTAATAGACAAGATTTTGACTCCCAAACTGTTCAAACCTGACGGTCAACTAGGAACTCGATTTTCTAATGTAGTGTCGGCTACCTAAAAGCTTATACTCTATACAAAGTGGGAGTACGACGTATATCAAGCTTTTATAAATTTGTAACTGTTTGCTTGATTGCTTAAAGTAGCCTCGTTCTAATCACAGGTAAACCCTCCAGTGAACTCTCCGTCACCAGCTGCAACAGTCAATCCATCGCAACCTCAACCTCAACCTCAACCGGCCGTGGACTGCCGTCAAGGTCAACCGGAGACCGG